TGTTCATTTTTTTGGCTCATGTAAATGAGCCTCTCTCCAAATACAAACAAAAGCAGAGCAATACTTCAGTAAGTGCCAAAGCAGAGGGCAAATCGAGTCTTCATTTCCAAGCTGCACTGCCATTATGGGAAGCTTCGCTGACAGTTATGAATGTCACTCATCAAAACACCCTCATACAGTTCTGATAAGTCTAAATAGTACTATTTTATAGTCAATGTCACTGTCGCTGCAGAGGACACAAAAGTCATCTTTTAAATTCATTCCTCAATGTAATCTGAATGCACCTGTATTGTCTACTAGGTGTTTTCCAAATGCAGCCAAATAAATTTGGCGTCAGCTGCCACAGGAACTGTCCTTCTGAATAATCTCTTGTGTTGCCTAAAATGATTGCATATTTCAAACATATAGGTTGGCACTTCATTTTTTTTTTTTGTTTGCTTGCTTGCTTGCTTGTTTTTAAGACAGTTACTACCAAGTTACCTCTATTCATTCGTCGTTCCAGACTTCTCTGGTCTCCTCAAGTGTTCTGCGCTTTCTGGACATGGTTCATTGCTTTCATTAAAAGGAGGCCAATTATATTTTGCTCTGTTGCTGCACATATTGCCAGTGAACATCCTTCTCCTTCACAGCCATGAGCTCCTCTGTGTGCCGAATGTGAAGGACTGCTCAGAGCAGCATAACTACTCACCGGTGATGGTTACAAGACTGAAAACCGCAGCATCCTGCGCTCACTTAACAAGACAGCCGGGTTTTACACTCTGTTCCTTAAGTGCTGGGTACTGACGTCCTCCTGGCTATCACCCCACTGAAAAAGGTTTTCATTAACAGTATAAAATAAAAAGCACTAAAGCTCTTCTTTGTGATGAGCTCCAATCTACAGCTGACCTTGCAGAGCTGTGTCCCCCAGCCTTGCTCGTCAGCCCTGCTCTCGGGCAGTCCATGTTGCTCCTTTCCCAGGCCAAGACAACGCTCTGTGTGTGGCAGAGGAGCATCTGGCACAATGTGTGATGGCAGAAAATGTCCCCTTCTAGTAGTGTGGCACTCCACCATGTGGCACAGTCACTGCTTCATTATTCTGTTAAAAAGGGAGATAGGAAGGTGTACAAATTTTGTCATTTCAGAGTAAGCGTTGAAATATTTGAATTCCTCCTCCATGCCTTTAAATTTGGAAAGCTAAATATAAGGAGGGAAAAAGTGAGGGGGGACTATAAATAAGAAATGAGTATGTGGAATAAATCTAAATCCAATCCATGGTACTTGTCACACCACCCCATCAAACTCCACTCGTGCCTCACCAGCAGGACGTGGCTGCAGGGAGTGCCGCGTTGCTGCCTGGACTGTTGGCTTCTTTAGTGGTTGTTGGGAATGATGGTTCAGCATCAAAATCAGGCTCTTGTAGAAGTTCAAGCAACCCTGGAAACGATGGGCAATTGCTTCTAATAAGGACACAAGCTAATGAAATATAAAAGAAGTCTAATAATTGCACTCCAATGAAAGCGTTAGCAATCATCCTTGCACGTCTGATATCCCAAACATGCCCCCATGTGCCTGGTACATATGTTTATGGTACAACACTCACACCTCCTGACTTTCCTACACAGGTGCTTTCCAGACTTAAGCATGCATGTAAATATGAATATTGTGTTCAATTTAGCACACAAATCGCTAAATTAGATGCACAGGCAGCTTCTACTCCTTCACAAGAGCTTTTTCTAATGGATATTTCATATTGCAGCAGTCATTTTTAATAACTGAAAATGTTCTTAGGAAAGTTTTAGAGTTTTCGAAGCCTGGATTACAGCTTGAGCCTGCAAGATGTTGAATTCATAGGATTTGATTCAGCAAAGCATTTCTAGGACTACCCACATGCTTAGAAGTACAGAGTTACTTGGCGTTGCTTTGCTGCATTGATTAGTGAGATGTTGTGGTTTGAACCCACAGTGGGGACAGGAGGCCGGGTAAGAGGGAAGAGGAAGGCCACCCACCACTGACAACCAGCCATCAGCGCCAAAATTGCATTAAAATAGTCTGGCTTCCTACGTGATAGAAATAGTGCCATAATCTTAAAGTATCTGTTTCTATGACAGGAGGCTTGAGTAGGTTAAATAACGTAGCTGCTTAATGTTAGAAGACTTCTGAAGCCATAAAGAACTACTTATCCAATGTAGCATTTTTTGCTCTTGGGGACAGGTTAACAAAGGTGTAGCTTTTCCAGAGGATTTTCATAGATATAGCTGAACAAAAACCCTTTTTATTGAAAATGTTATCTGTATTAACAAAGTTTTATGATCTAAAAAGCTTGTTTTGAGTTTCTGCTAGACAAAGAGCCTTAGCATCAGCTCCTGCAGTACGGACAGCTGAGGATCTGGGTCATTGTTCCCAGAATTAATTGATACGACCTGGTGGGAAGGTATGAAAATCATCTTGTCAGATCTTTGCCAGGTCATTCTCAGCTGCTTGCAGACTCATTATGGGCCCACGCAACTGGAGGCGTGAGTCGGGCTGGCCCGAATCACTGAAAATGTCAAAGAAACTGCGTGGTGAGGAGCTCCCAGTGGTGGTCCTGGAATAAGAGGCTACGACCAAGAGTTGTGCTACCATGTACATGGAGCCAGGACTAGAAACCCTATGAGGATAAATTCCTTACTAATTGAAAGGCAGCATTACCCTGTGGATCACAACGGACAAATGTAAACTCATTTCATTTTTTTAAAAGAGTTTTATTAAGTATATTAAAGCTTCCAGAAGGCATATTGGAAAACGTTCAGGACCTTCTATCAATGCCTTTTTTGGACAAATGTAAACTCATTTCATTTTTTTAGAAGAGTTTTATTAAGTATATTAAAGCTTTATTAAGTATATTAGAAGGCATATTGGAAAATGTTCAGGACCTTCTATCAATGCCTTTTTAACTGAAATACCATAGATATATTTGACAGAAATAAAGAATATTAAAAACACAGCAACAAAAGCCTAAGTATATTGTATAGATTTTATTTTTCAGAGAAAATGCAAGATACTACATAAGGATAAAATTTAAGTCCTACTGAAGTCAATGGCCAAAGACCATTATTCTTTAGCGGAACAAATGATTTCACAGAAAAGGGTTTGTACAAGATATGAGTGATGTATATTTAAGAGTATAGTATATTTATGGAAGTATTTTTACAAGCCATTCTTCATAGTGTGTATACAAGTGATAATTAAATACAGTGACAAAGTCTTCGGTGACAAAGTCGTGAGTGACAAAGTCTTCGGTACAAAGTCGTGAAAAAAACTTTGATCACATAAGGGTGCCAAGAAGCAAAGAAAGAGGAGACCTAGCCTACGGACTGGTATTAGCTTCGGATTTGGGTGATCTGCCTCAAAAGTCCTCATTTTTATCCAGTCACTTGGAGCTAAATCCACAAAAGGCTGATGATTCAACTGCATGATGCCATGCTCAGCATCCATGGCTCTTGAGCAACAGCGGCTTCTTACAAAATCAGTGCTTGCTGTCAGAGTCCAGAACTTCCCAGCTCAAAATTATCACCACTGGATGAGAGCCTCCTACGCAGCCTCAGCTCCAGCCCTGCATCACTGACCCCATGCAACAGGATGGCGTGAGGCCACCAGGTATTGCAGCGCTAGCAACAGGGAGGTGCCTAACCCGGCCCAAACAAGGGGGGGCAGCCGTGTTTGGATTCCCTCCAGGATGGATGCAACCTAACCAGGTTAAAAAAAAAAAAAAATGGCACAAGGTCGCAGCTCTAAGACGGTGTTTAAAAATTGTTAATCCTGAGTAGTATGAAGCACAAAGTAAGCAGGCAGCACTGCAGAGAGGGCTGTGGTTTAATGCACGACTATCCATGGTATTCCCTGTTTTCGAGCAGGGGGATACCTGCGCTCAGCAAGGGCTTTCAGGCACCTAACTCAGGGCAGTGGATCCCATTCCAGCCATGGCATGCCTAAGCTTTATTCACTGAAGCAATGATGCCCATAGCTCCTCTGTGCTTCAGTTCTTCATTTATACAATTAATTAATAGTAACAACACTTACTGCCTCACCAGGGTATTGTAAAGAAAAAGCACGCTAAAAATGGTAAGGCACTCAGAGATTGGATAAGAAGGACTGTGTAACCTCCTAGGGAAAATTTTAAAGAATTTGCACTGTTCGAACGTAGATCAAAGTTTAAGCCCTTTAAGACTAAGTTTCTGCCCCCCAAGACAAAGGACCTGGCAGAAGGACTCCTGTAGCATGTTGGCCTTGTGCTGGCCCCCCGCATAATGCCACCTTTCTCAAGGCATTTTGCTAACTGCAGAGGTCCCTCAGAAAGTCCCTGGTCAAGCCATGAGGAGCCACCTCAAGTTAGTCCCTTCCTAGCATGCTCCGGCCACAAGGACAGGCTGCCTTGCTGCCACTTCACACACAGGCATGTACTGCCCTCATGCTGTTCAAGCAGCGCTCTCGTGTTGTATTTAAGACGAGTATAAGGTCTATTTTACATTTCCATGAGACAGAGGTGCAAGTCACAGTGCAGCTGCCAGTGGAAGGCGGCACCAAATCCCTGGGATAATTCTGACACTGCAGTCAGAGAGAGTCTGAGTTTTGACTGCATGGTGAGAAGATCTAGCCACCACAGTACTCAATGCAAAGCCCGTTCAGGCTGCTGGAAGGGCTCTGCATTGATTCTGATGGCCACTGGCCTTTTCACTGAGTAGAGCTGTAGTACACGGAATAAAAGTGGGGTGTCAGTTGTACTCTTACTCAGCCCCTCCAGGAAATGGAAATATCTGAAGACAAATGTTGCAGGACCTTTGGTATGCAAATGGATACTGCACGGTGTGTCCCAGCACTTTATAAGAAACTAGACTTATTTCTGTTCTAGTCTTCTCCTACAACAAAGAGGAGGATGCACATGGCACAGCACAGGTCAAAATTTAAAAACCTAGTGTGATTTCACATCTAGTGTCAACTTAAGCAACCCAGAAGTAATTTCCCATTCAGCCACAAGAACAGGTTTAAACTTCATTTGTGCCATTCACTTCCTTCTTTAGTCCTTCCCGTTCCTCTCTCAAAGGTTCCAGCTCAGGCCCATCCCGTACGATTTCTTTGTTCCAGTTATTTCTGCCTTCATTTTCTGTCCTTACAGATTTAGGGTCCTCCTCTTTTGCCTTTCGTTCCTTCTCCTCCTTGGCAAGCATACGATAATTATAATAATTCATGATGAACAGGAAGGTTCCTGCCAGGACCATCACAGCTCCACATTTAATGAACATATATTTATAGTCCCCAAAGGTATCGATAAGAGTTCCTGTAAAACATATATTTAAAGAAAAAAAAACAAATTTAGAGAGGAAGGCAAGAATATTGTGTTTTCAGATACTAAATATAAAGGGACCTTGTGGCTTTAGAATAAAATAAGACATTCTCTGGACTTCTGGTCTCTTCCACAAATACTCTGATCCTGCAAATACTTCACACGTGTTCCACTATATAGCCTGTGGGTAGTTAATGCTGATACAGGTAATACTACCAATAATTTGTACAGTTAAGTAGAAGGGGACAGAGAACCTACATTGCAAAGTCTGGACTTTTCATGCACACCTATTTTTTCCATGCAGAAACCAAGTCCTCTGATCACAGATCCTGCAGACAGTTTTTCCATTGACTCCAATGATCACCTACAAGGATGTCCATTTGACTTTGTAGTCCTCAGGCTGCCAAAAAAAGCGGCAGCTTTCGGGAAGACCTTCGTGAGATGGCACCTGGCCACTGGGTCTTGTCTCAGACGACAAAGACCCTCCAATTTATTCCACCATGGGTCATTCACCAGCATTAGAGGTGACTCAGCTTTTGGTCACAGCTGCCCTTTCTGCATTTATACTCTTGATCTAAAGATGAAAGGGCACTGCGTGGAACTGGAAAACATTAGTTCCAGGGAAAGCAAAGATGATGCTGTCAATGTCAGATAATTTCAATGCCAAGACAAATGTGACAGGTTCCTCTCAAAGGTTAATGCCTCTGTTACGGAGTTACAGAGTAATTGAAGGGAGACGGCTTAATTGAAATGTCAGTGTTCTCCATTATGTCAAAATGTAATGCAAATCTTATTGGGATTATGATCCTGAGCATTAATTCCCATTTACTGGCGCAACACAGACCATTCTTAACATCCCAAATCCTAATTAAAGTAAGACCCGCTCCTAACCTGGCCTTCACAGTACAGATAGTCCTCCTTGAAACTGGCCCATCATCCATTAGCTCTCTGACTTTTTGGAGTATGTTCTCCTCCTTAAAAAGAGGGACCTTCAATTACTTCCTGCCTGACCCCTAATGTTGAAAAGCTGATGATTAATTATCCCACTGCATTACACTAACAAGGGATTTTATGGCCACCAAATAGATTTCTTGATCACAAAAATAATAATTTTTAACTGGTTTTGGTCAACGGTTCTTCCTGAATCATTCCTAGATGTCTTGGTACACCATTTTCAATGCACTGTGTTTTTCATGTTACTGATGAAACATCAACCAAATGCTAATTGCAACAATTTTTCCTTTTCTGCTAATCAGGATGACCTAGAGGTCTCCTAAATAGGTTTCAATGAGAGTTTTAATGAGTATTGGAAAATTCAACAGTAGGATAGTCTTGCCTCTTTTCCTTTGAGAATAAGATAAAGTCATAAAACACACTGGGAACAATTTACTTAGTTCATTAAAGCAGAACACTGCAGTAGGTTATTAAAATGGCAAAGAACCAATAAATTTGCTGCTTATTAAAATGGTGGGGAAAACCCTACAAAACTAATATTACTGATTATTACATAGAACTAGTTTAGCCTCATTAGCAGTCTCCGGTCATTCATAACTTAATCTTCCACGCAGAAAATTACATAATTCAGAAAATGGTCATTTTAAAATTGTATTTTCTTTTGTTTGTCATTAATTAAATAATGAATCTCTAAGACAGCAAGAGAATACAGCTGCTTCTGTCACACTGTATGAGTTACATAGTAATATGAAGAATTAAATGGCTCTGCAAGATGTGTCATACTGAGTATCAGCCAGATCTCAGTTTTGAATCCAGGAAATCGGTTTAAACTGCCTTCTTTCTGTGCATTCTTTAAATTTATTATGATACTGTCATATCAAAAGAATTAGCAGTGTTTAACTTTTATACATCCAAATACAGACAGCACACACAACCTAATTAAACATTGTAGCATACTTAAAGGTGACCAGTTTCCAAACCAGTTATTCAAGCTTGCATACAGGTGAAACGCAAACTGCAGGACAGGGCACATAGATAGAATGGTATCTATACGCTGAGAGGATGTCACCTATAAAGTCATTTAATTAATAGCCAACTCAGATTTGGTAAGGACTGTACTTGAGCCAAATGCCAGATTCAAATATGGTGTCTTCCAGACATGGTGTGCTCCTTGTAGAAAAAGAAGTGAGCACACGCTATAGAGGAAAAGAAGCGGAGGCTGTTATAATCACAGGAGATCACTGCTCCCACTTATCTTCAGATGACTGTAAGCCCTGTTGGAGGTTCAATATTGTCAGCATGGACATTTGAGGGTCTCTGTCTTTTGATATTTCAAACCATGCCATCCAAAATAAACCTTTTTTAATTTTTGAAACAGCCTTAAATCTCTCAGATGCACTGAGATGACTGAAATCCATAAGTGGAAGTACTCAGAGCCTTAGAGACAAATAGCAAATACTAGGTTTGAGTCGACAAGAGGATTTCATAGAACTGTTGTGTTTTACTGTGCTTAAATTGTGGTGGACTCCAGCCTTTTGCAACAGGAGGAGTTGTCTGAAGTGCAAGGTTCTTGGTGTTGCATGAAGACCTGCTCTGCAAGTTCAGTTCAAGTGTTTGAAGAAGGGATCAGGGACTAAAAGATCATTCTACGAACTCTTGACTTCAACTGGAGGACTACACAGAAAGGCGTAAAGAAGAAATGCTGGTCGAGACACCTAGGACCTGCCTTCCCTGTCCAATTACTAGTGGAAAAACGGTGGGTGGGAAGCAAAGAAAACACATTTAGATTCATTTCTTACAAACTCTGCTTGCAAGAGGCTAAATGTAAGTGACAACCCAGTAGAAACAGAGGAGGAAAACACACTCACCTCCAATAGGTGGTCCCAGCAATATCGTGCAGCACTCCGCAATGGTGACCAGGCCAACAGCACTTGTGAACCGGGCAGCTCCCACGAGGTCCATGAGCGTTTCAAAGAGCATGGCACAAACCATGCCGAAGGCCAAGCCAAAAAACACGGAGTAAACGACGAGCCCCGTGTAGCCGGAAGCCAGCGGGCACAGAAGGTGGCAGGCGCCGTTGAAAGCAATGGAGAAGCTGAAAAAGTATTGAATCCGTGGCCTCACCCACTTGCTGTTTGCAATGATGCCAGTGGTAGGTCGGGCAATCATATCCACAATAGCAAGGATCGAAAGGAGGAAAGCAGCTGAATATTCATCAATGCCGATGTGCTTTGCATAGGGTGCCAGAAAAACAATGGGGGCAAAAAATCCCAGGAACATGAGCACGTTTCCGATCAGATAAATCAAGAACCCTCTGTGCTTAAAGAGCGAAAAATCAAGGTACTGGTTGATTTTTTCACAACAGTCCTTTCCTCCTTCCTCTTCCGTCGTGGTCTCCATGGGGATGTTCATGGGACTACTCATTTCCATGGCATCCTTAGTGACCTCTTCTTTCAGAGCATCCTTCCCTTCCTCAGTCGCCTGGGTTTTGACTGATGCTGTGGCTGCCCCCATGGGTCTGAAGAGGGCTCCTGCCACACAGCAGTTTAATAAAATTGCCCCAAGAATTAAAAAGCTGCCCCTCCAGCCAAAATTGTCAAAAAGGAACTGATTGAGAGGAGCCAGGGTGCAAAGCATCACGGGGCTCCCCGCCATAGCAAGGCCGTTCGCGATGGGTCTTCTCTTTAAAAAGTATTTCCCAATGATTATCACCGATGGCTGGAGGTTGAGTGCAAGGCCGAATCCTGGAACAGAGAAAAATATTTGAGATACACAAAAGAAGATTTGAGACCCGTTTATCCTCAGCTCATTGTTTTAGGCAAATTCATGGACAATTGGGTCTGTTGGTGGCTCTTCAACATGATAGTCTGGATGCAAACTTTGCTCAAGATATCCCTAATCTTCTGGCTGCTGCATTTGGGTAACCAGACCCCAGAAAGACACTTCTGGTCAGAGAACACTCCTTCCTTTTGCACTGCAAATCTCTTGGCTGGCAAACCTAGCACAAAGAGTTTGCTTCAGAATAAATTGAAACTATACCCTCAACGAATGCTGGCTGGTTTTGTCCAGAGACAGCAGCCTTGTTGGAGAAGAGGATGGATCTATTAAAAAAATTGACAACTCCCAGTTTGAGGAAGGTTGTTCTGGCTTGGACAGTGCTAACCACCAAAGCGCATCCTTCTCACGTGCGGCTGAGGCTGGCACCGCCTTCCATGGGTGGTGGGCACCCAACACTGTTGCCGGGCAGACAGACCTGCACAGAAAATAACATCACCCATCTCAGCCGCTGCTGGTGTGAGCAATTCAGGTCTGATGCAAAAGATTAAGAGGTCTGCAAGTACACAGCAAAACAGCTACTGAGGATGCTAATTAAAGAGGACCCTAGAGTATTTCTTTTAATTAAAATTTATTTTTATTGCATTTGGATATATAAATGGTGTTATAAATCTGCATTGCTAATTCAGTTAGCCAGCTTCTCTTGCACAGGTGAAATCTGAAGGCAGAGATACCAAATGCTGTGATGGTCTCAACTTTCTGTGGTTCTGTATGAGAGCATTAGCATAAAACAATATCTTCTTTTCAAACATTTCTATGATGTGCAGTATTTCCTTAAAAAGTTAAATTTTTTCCAGAACTCCATCAAAATGACATTTAAAAATCATGCCACATATTTTCCACCCTATCATCCAAGAAAGAATGAGCCACATTAGAACAAAGCAGAAATGTAATCCTTGAAGTGATTATACCAGAGAACATGAATCCTGAAAATAGGGTCATGCAGATTTTTTCTTGTTCATTAGTTGATATAATTAGTTTGTTTAACTGTGCGGTACATAATTAGGCATATTGCTTTACAGAAGAGAATTTAGAAAGGTCAAAGTCCTCAAAATTAATTAAGGAACACTATCATTAGTCGCTGATAGAGTAGAATCCAACTGATGCAGCAGAATTCAACTGATGTTGGATAGCTTCAGTTTGAACGGTCATACAAAATTATGATATTTGCCAAGTATAACATTCTTTTTTTTTAATTACTTGGAAGTTTACAACATTAAAAATAAATTGAAATGGCAACATATTAAAATTAGTCTTGATATGAAACACATTCTCAGCATGAACTTTTCTAGATAGTCCATATATTTGGTAGGGCATGTCTTTGGGAATTACAGCCTGCTCATAATGCATAAGGGGCCAAATTCATCCCCGTGAGAGGGCTGACCTGAGAACTATGGAGGCAAAACACAGCCTTGGTTAGAGAACACCACTGATGGTGCTCAGATATAGGAATGCATCTTCTTTCACCTGAGAAGATGCAACACAGTGGATTAGAGTTTGCTTTAACTCTGTATTTCCCAGGCTGGTAGGTAAGGGCAGAAATTGAACCATCATTTCCACAGAATCATTTTTGGTAGGGACCTACCACATGGCATGTGGAGAAGGAAAATCAGACTGTATGCCAGCTACCCACTTAACCAATAATCAACTCAAATTTTTTATTACGTGAACATTAATTTGCCAGTCAGACAAATCTAATTTAATATTACCTCATGCTCTTCCCATTAATTAAATTTGGAGAGTTTCAAATTGACTGACTGGAATTTCAATTTACTTTAAGCTTTTGGCTGACTTTAGTTGGAAATATTTATATCCATTTTATTCCAGTTTTCAGAAACTACAGCAGCTTTTCCATGGCTGAAATTGTTACTCAAATAACCACATTTTCTCCCCAAGGATATGACAGAGAGACCTATCAGTGGTGTTGCATGAACAGAAGCAAGCCCGTGCCAGAGGAAGCATCCTTCCCTAGATTAAATACATCTCCCTCATATTAGAAGGAAATGAGTGGTGCTTCAGGAGTGAGCTGTGTAACTATTGATCTTGTTCTTACTTTATTAGCAAGGGAAGATCCTACAAGGTATTTCAATGCTCAACATTAACAGCTGAGGCAAAGACTCCAGTCTCATTAGTCAACATGCTTCAGCTTCACCCCAGATCCCATTTTATTTTGTGGCGGTCTAATCGGTACGGATCGAACTAAACTCTGACCAGTCGTTATTGCCTTGTATTTAGCTTTGAAATTTGCTGCTACTACCTCAGACTTGACGAAGAGGTTGCATGCCTAAACACCTATTTAATGCACCCAGGCTGGCATCTATCCAGATCAACAGCTTGCAAACCCCATTTCTTTTTCTAAGAGCTATAGGGAAACAAGTGAGGAAGAGAACATGGGTTTTACAGAGCACGCAAAGTGCCTCGTGCAGCCCACAACTCGGCGCCATCAAGGATCGAGCTGCTTCAGAGCTGCCTCCGACAGCAGAGCCCGGCCCCTGCTCTGCATGCAAATGGAAAAAGACATAATCAAGAAAGCAATTGAGATTGCCGTGTCTAATCCCTCCACTGTAAACAAGATACTTCCCGCTCTGCTCCTCTGAAGAGATTTCTATTAATATGCCAAAGGCACAGGATTGTAGCAGGGACCTCCGAGTACTAACTATCTCATTTTTATCTCCATCCCTGCAAATTACATGAACACGGTCTTTTACATCAGTCTGTTTCCTTTTCAGGAGAGTGTGATGTTTACAAGTTGCTTTACAGTCATTGCAAATCGCCTTTACAGAAGTCTCTCTCCTCGTACAGTAACGTTGTCTCAGCCCCGTGATGAGCAGGCAGCTTCATAATTGCCCTTGAATGCTTCCATGTTAGGCCTGACCAGCGAAAGCGCTGCAAGCGTAATTAGAGGCATCAAGCACGTTAGCAGGATTACAAGCATCTTCCCTTCTCTGTCAAATTAATACTCCTTCCCCAGCACACACGCACCATGCCTGGAAATGATGGGTTATTAGCTAAGACCTCATCCATACAGCTGCCCTCATTCAGCAAGCAGGAGGGAAAGACGTACACAACCCCAAATGTGCTTTGCTCTGAGGAAACATCACGGCATTAAAGACGAGGGAGACACGGGGGCAGCTTTGCCCCTGTACCCTGTCACTGGCACGAGGGTTACATGTGTGCATTGAGCACAGCTCATACTATCAACTCTCTGGGATGGGCAACAGACCAGATTTGGACCAAAAAAGAGCAGGGTCTTCATAAATCCTAGGCCCATTGGGGTTAGGCACAAAATTCCCTCCTGGCACATTTTTAGACAAGTACCTTTGAAAATAGGAGTTGGTGCCTTCCTACAGCACTGTTCCTTGCCTGAGCCCTTCTGCTCACCAAAATGCATATATTTTTAGCAAAGGATTTATGGTTTTCTTGTGCTAATCCAGCATTATCAACTTGCTAGAGGACATTTGTTTAGCAGGGAATGATGCAAGCTCATGCATCAATAAATATTGAATTTATCCATGGGAGACATTGGTTATTTTTATTTCTCATCGCTTTGTTTCTAGAGTCTCTTTCAAGGAATCTGCAAGATTTATGCACTCAGTAATACACAATCTCATCTAACTATAGTGACTCTCCTTAGAAAGAGTAAGGTTTAAGAGAGGGAATCCTACATGGGGATTTATTCACTACTGTACAGATCTAATAAAGCAATATTGGTGTAGGAGAACAGGGTGACAAACTTTCTGTCCCCATTTACTTTGCTAGTGGCTGGTTTTATTGATTTTAAATATTGAGCTCGCACTTTTCGTGTTCAGAAAGCAGCAACACTTAATGCAGCTGCAGAGAGATAGGGAACATTCATAAAAACACACACCTTGCAACCTCAGAACCCAATTTTGAACTCCTTGTGTCACATTTTCAGGCAGATGTCCTAGCTGCACTGGAAGAAACATTGGCTGTACCTTAGCCAAAATAATCAAACAAAAATGCTTGCAATTAAGTATCTATACTCACACAGGTGGAGAACTCCAATCTATCTACCTTTAAAAGCAATAACCCAGCACCTGCAGGCTTTAAAGATGCTGGACTGAGCCTATGCCTTCTCCCGTTTGAGTTTCCAATATGGAAATTCGTATTTCAATACATAAAATTCAAATCGTAACTTCAATAAGGAAATACAGGTTTATTTTTTTCTCAATATGGAGAATATTGCACATTTTCAATCAACTCTAGTGGTTATTATTTTCAGATAAAGGACCTCCTAACTTCACAAGCAAGCAAAGGGCAAGTAAACCAAAGCAAATCCCTGAAATCTCATTTCATATATCTCATAGAGGGAAGATGTGCAGTAATATAGGAACACAGGTGCTTTCTTCATAGTCGCACTTGTATCTCAAAGGGCTTGCCTTGCCCAGGGCAGAGCGCAGTCAACCTGCGTTCACTTCATCGGGAGCTGAGGGCACTGATGGCCATCCTCACCGCTGCCTCTGGCCGAGAGCGCTCATCTGCAAAGAGCACATCCCCTGCTAAAATCCCACACGCGATGTTCAGCCAGGAACACGGTGCTTAGCAGGGGATATGCTCTTTGCTAAAGCCCATCTGGAGCAGCTGACAAGCAAGGGCCCCTGTCCCACCAGCTTTTTATCTCACCAGGTTCTCACTGTGTTTGGCTGAGGTGTCCAAGGGTGGGTGTCTAAGCCAACAGAAGAGAACCTCAAGTGCGGGTGGAAAGGAGATGCTTTCTTCTTACCTGTGATGAAGCCCACGCAGATATAGAGCTGCAGGATGCTGGTGCAGAAGGCAGCTGAGACCATCCCAATGCCACACAGCAGGCCTCCAAATATAACCACAGGTCGGCTGCCATAGCGGTTTACTAAAATGAGTAAAGAGTGCAAAATGGTCCTTGAGGTAGGTATCTTCTGACAGAAGGGCATGTTTGACACAAAGCAGGTAAAACTCTGCAATATTAGTGCCCCTGAGGTGCTGCTGCCAGCTTCTAGGGTGACTTCAGGAAGAAAATGGAAAAAGAGAGAAAGATGATCTGCACTGTGTGGAGATGACAGCATGTCCCATGTCACACAATGGCTGTGTAGTCGGTGACAGCTCCTGCCTCCAGGACTTTAAACTGTCACCAGAGAAGGCAAACAGCAACAACAAATCAGGTGAACACATGATTCCAACACAGGAGCTTCTTGATTTATTATAATGCTAAACCATACACACAAAGCACTGGTTCATATTACAAGGCTCACATCATGAACACTGTTGCATTTTTAATGCCTCTATTTAATGCAATTCCGATACTGCTGACCAGGACTGAAGCTTCAGCAGAACAGTTGTTAATTAAATCTTAATAGCAGTCTATGTAGGTAGAAACAGTTTGGGATGATGGATTAGCCCAAGCTCAAAAGAACCAGTTTGGTCTTGCATTTATGTAAAAGAGGTGGTTCAGGGAACTGCAGAATTATGAAAGAGGGAAATAGCTTAACAAAGACTGTGCACACTGAAAGGAAGCCTTTAAATCTGAGGAAGTGGAACATGCCAGCGTCTTTGGGCGGAGAAGGAAAGAAGGGAGGTCTTGTGTATAGTAGTCTCAACTAGCTGGAGGACCAGTAAAAATCAGAATCATGGAATAATATACGTTAGAGGGACTTCGAAGGTCTCAGGACCAACCTCCTGCTCAAAGCAAAGCCAGCTCCGAAGTTAGATCAGGCTTAGAAGTCAGAACGAGAGAAAGCAAACTGAGCAGGAAAGAGCGGTGCAGAAGTGAAGCTATGAGATAAAAGAAAAAGACTCAAAAACCCTGAACCAAAATGCTGCAAAAATGATGCTGGAAATGAGGCAGGGGGATACAGGCAGCATTTAGTATCTTATCTTACCTGACTACTTCTGGTGCTACTCAGCACACAGCAATGGTGTTTCGGAGCCCCGTGTGCCTGTTTGCCTTCATTCCTGCCATTACAAACAGCCCACACCGTCCACATATATACCACTGGAAATGGGTATTTTAAGCTTATAGGCATCTCTGAAGAGTTTGACTGTGGGATCTACCTCACCGCAGAGCCATTTGGTAGGACATTTACTTCTGCTTAAATAATCTCAGCCAGAAATAGTGCCAGAGCTCTTTCCAGACCCTGCAAACCACGGCACACTTGAGCACAGGAGCTGGACCCAAAAACCCCAATATCCCCTCAGCATAGCTGACAGCATCCAAACAAGTTCTCAGCTGTTATAATGTGCAAGAATAAAAACCAGTAGGTATGACTGGTTTAATCTAGGGAATGAAGCCCATTGTTACACCTGTAACATGTAAAATCCTTTCCACTAGATGTCTAAGGTCAAAACACTCATAAATGAAATACACACAAGCACAGTCTTAACAGCATCCCTGTAAGCTGGTCGCATCGAATGCACCATTCAGTTAAAATTTCTGTGAATGTATAATTACGTGAAGAGTTTTTTCTCCTAATCCTGTAACCGGATTCAATGCATGCCCCCTTTTGCTGCACAGAGCACAACAGAATTCAGTGAGAAGTTCTGGGGAAAAGAGATATGTCAGATCAGCACAGCAGGAAAGGGACTCCTTTCTCACTGAGTCTCCCCTGGTCAGGGCTTGGACTTGCATCATGCTTGAGCTGGTCTCAGCGTGTCCTGTAATTCAACAGATCGAGCCAGTGTTCCTCAGAAAAGCACCAACACATTCCTCTGCAGCCTAAGGGCACGCAACTCTTCCATTTTTCAATTTTCCACATGTCCGCGTTTCTCCAGAATCAATCTAATTACTCAACTAAGAAAACGTGGTTTCAATTACCTTCTCCCGCTGGAAGAGGGCTTTCACATTAGTCCTAAGACTACAGGATGTTGTACCATGCAGCAGAGCATTTAAAGCCCACAAGATTCCTGCTAAGGCCCCTCTCCTGCTCTGACTCAGGGCAGCTCCTGGGGAGAGAAGACCCTGCTATAAGAAGTAAAACAAAATGCTCATATATGTCCCACTCTTGCAGCATCCAGTTGGGAGAGGGCAAATATGGATCCATGTCCCTCTCACTCCAGTCCATAAGCTGTTGTATTGGCTTCACCTATCAGCAAGGATGGGTTTGGACCACGACAGCAGATGATGAACTGGAAAGGGCTGAGGGTGAGACACATTCTGCTCTGCTTCCCAGCTATGGGGACAAGCTGGGTTAGAGGCTAGAGCAGATGAAAGCAAAAGTTCGTATCCCAACCACTGGCTTTACAAATGAGAGCACCCTTCCTGCGCCCCTGGGGCACCCTCCATGAACTTGCAGTGTCCTCAACCACATCCCAACTTCCCAGCGATCTCTTGTTAAGCCACGAGACTGCAATTGCTCCCTGTTCTTGTCTTGTGTGATCTCTCAGCAATGCTTTACAGCAGGTCTGCGTGACCTTCAGCAAACAGCCTTCATCTGCTGCACCCAGCGTTATCAGTTTTACAGGGGGATAACCAGTCCCGCTTGTTTGCAGTCTGGGTGGGAGAGCTGTGGTCTCAAAGGCGCTATCTGCCTGGGCTGGGCTGAGCTCTCAGGGAACTTTGATGAACTTCAGAAGCAACATGAACCTTTCTCCTTCACACCTTGAAACCTTAAGTCCAGGTCCTGCGAGCCTGCTTTGCTAAAGAAGCACTGCGTACAGGATCACAGCACACACTTGTGAGTGACAGCATTTGATCTCCCTGACCAGCCTCACTCACATAGGACTGAGGATCGGAAACCTCTAAGATGTTAAATGCAGACAGTTAGAGAAGAGAACAGGAGCACAGCATCTGGACTAAACCTTTCCAGCCACTGGAGAATCCACAGCGAAGGCCATGATGAGCACTCAACCTGCAGGCAAAGCATCAGCTAGACCTACACTTTATGAGACACCAGAGAATCCAACCCAAGGCCTCAAAACAGTTGGGAAACCAAACTTCCCTGAGCTGCTGCTCATAGGCCGAAGCTTTTGTAATAGTCCTGAGCAGACCTTTCAAGTGCACTGAAGCAAATGCAAAATCACATCCCCAAAATTACTTCCACTTAAGTCATTTGGACCTACAGAAACGTCCATAGGCTTTAATGGAGCAGCTTTTCAAAAGCTATCCCATCTCTCGGCAGAAACCGGTGCACGCAACATGTCACATAGCTGTGCACACTTCAGCACGCAAACCCTGCCAACTTGGGCAGGCGCACGAAGCACAGACACGGCCACCTTCACCCTGCCCAGATGTCTTCAGAGATCAGCATCACACCCAACAGATCTAAACGCACCTCTCCTGCCCTGCTTTGCCACATGCTACCCATAGTGTACCCATAGGGGGCTGATGAGCCATCAAGCATTAGATAACTTCAACAGCAGTGTTCTGGGGAGCTTCGGAAAACATCAAATAGCTCCAGTCAGGGCAGAGGAATTAAGAAGAAGAGAGCAAGAAAGCCAGCACCACAGTTGTGGGAAATAGGAAACACAATTACTGCTTTGCTTGCAGCTATTGCAAAAATTAAAAGTGTGACAGCCCCTGGAAACATGGTGGAATTGAAAAGCGGGACCTGTCATTTACCAGTTATTCAGCCTGCATGAAAAGAATAAAGATACTGTATATTACCACACAGAAACCAATTACGGTAACGTGTGCAGCTTAGGTCCCAAGGCACGTCTACTTGCTAATACCTGCCTGGTTAAACGTGCAGGAACCACAGGCTCCCTGTCCTGGCATCCAAACTAAATCATCCTTCCTTCCTGCGAGCCAACGGCGGGAGAAGCTAACAGGAGTCGGGGTGATTTTTGCTTCTTAATTTACAGCGTCAGGTGAGGACAGGGCAAGAGAAACAGCTGGCAAAGCTCTAAGAAAGCTGCCATTTACCTTGCAGAAGCAGCCACACGAATGCTGTCAGAGTCCCTGAAAAGTCATGGCAAGGAGCAAAAGCCATCTCAGCTGCTGAGCGTGTCCCCGACGCATGGCTTCTCAGGGACCAGAGCAGCCGGGGCTAGTGTCACCCAGCCAGCACTGTCCCCACAACCCCACCACCATGGCGGCATCGCAGCTTCTAATGAGGAAATTAGAAGTAAAATTTAATCCCCTCCTTGCACCCCAATACACTACAAGGACGAGGCTGACGACACAGGAGTGCCGGTGCCTCGCTGTGGGACGGGATGGCATTTCCTTAGGAAACAAGGCAGCCCCTTCCACAACCCAGCAAGTGGCTTCCTCCCTCCCGCCGAACTTCCAGCTGCGGTGATCATTTATCATCCATCGCAAGGGGATGCCACAGACAGCGGAGGGCACAGCGGGATGCTGAGCCTCATCCTGCTCCTGGCTTTGCCCAGAGCTGTGCCTGTGGCTCTGCACCTCCCCTGGCTTGCAGGGCACTGCTGGGGGACACGGTCTCCAGTGGAGCTACCATCACCCAGAGCAAGGAAAGTCCACTGAGAAATGCCTTGTTTTATACCCCAAGCTCTTGCAGAGCAGCGTGCATATAAAGGGGGTTCTGCCTGCAGTAAAACTCCGCAGTCTGGAGAGCAACAGTTCGCACCAAATATCCCCTAAAGATGCTGCTGGGATCATGGCACTCCTGGAAGACTGATGTAATGTAAAGCACTATCCTCAGCCCATATAAATCATGCTGGTTTAGTGCCTGTCCTGTATAAAGCCTCTCTTTTCTCATACCTGTGGCAGATTTCCATTCATTGTTAGCTGGTACATGAAAGGCCATGTCAAAGAAGCTGATCTTGGTGGCAAGCAAAACACAGGAACTCGCCGGTGGGAAATAATGCAAGCCTTAACTCATTTGTTAGCTTGTCCAATTACTTTTCACCTTGAGTTTTGTGTTTGCAGAAGTGAAAAGGACCCTGAAGAGGAGATTGTAAAACCATAAAGAAAATGTAAAATGCCCTGGACTCTCCTCTCTTCTCCTCCACAAAGCCAGGCCATCTTGTCATT